TGACCCGATTCCGGAACTTTCAAAGTACATCAAACCTTTGCTATTCCACCAAACACGGAGCATCACCTTTTTGCCGCGTATATCAGGTTTCGGAGTCCGTTTTGGAGGGTCACTGGAGTCTAACCACTGTCCTTTTCTCGTTGCGTTATCGAAGCAGACCCTTTTCTCATTTGATGTAATAATAGAGTCGAAAAAACCGCTGTTCTTGGAGCGACGAAGAAGAATTCCGGCCATTGCCACTCGTGTTGCCTTGTTTGCGTCGCTCAGCTGGTGCGGCACCCGCTCTTCCCAACTTTTTTTCCCCAAAAAAGCAAAGTAGACATGGACAAAAATATATCAAAAGAAGCACAATAAAAATCTCTTTCTAATAGACAAAACTGTCTCCAAAAATCTTCTATAGTAGGAGAGAAAAAAATGGACAAGTTCAAAAAATTCAACGCGCATTCCTTTCCGGACAACCTAATATTTAGTAAATTTGTAGTCGTAGTCGTGTAGTGAGTCGTCCAATATATCTGTATAGTTCCTAGTCGCCGCATTCAGTCCGGTTATACCCTCGTCGTCACACAAACAATCGTTCTCGTCGTTGTGCATCGTCTCGGTTCTTGGTCGATATGCCGCGCTCCTTGAGAGAGTAAATCAATAGATGAGCGTGTGGCTGGGTCATGGGAGGTCTGAACCCTGGTTAGTTATTGCCGCCTGTCAGCAGGTCCTTCCCTTCGAGCATTCACAACTGACACGTCATCTTCTTTTCCCTGGGCACGCCGGGTAGCCAGAGTCCCGGATTTCCTTGCTGACTCTCAGACACCGATGCACTCGCGCGCGAACGATAGGAGAGTCACGACAGATATTAAACAGACTAGCGAAGAATATAAAATCAAAATCGTCTTTGGATCGAATATTGTATGGTGGTGCAGGACCTATCAAATGCTAACAATCGATTTCTTTCTCAGCTGCATGTTCAGCTTTCAGTGAGTTTCTACTATGAGGCATCGGTTATGGATTCGCAGCTTTTTCTCGTCCGACATCTTTGCTTATGCAACGTCACCCGAATTGCAGAAAGACGTTTCTTAGGATAATGATAAAATGCAAAGGATAGGGAATCCGCCGCTGATTGATTTCTTTGTGGGATGCGGCACGCATTCTACTTCCATTCAGAATCGTAGTGGCTTATTGAATGCGATGTGGCCTATACAATGACTTGCGGGGCCAGCCGATGTACAAGTCAGTGTTTTATCCTCCCAGACGAATCTGGTACCAATTTACCGTCCCCAAAGGGTGGAAGGCTTGGTTGGTCTGAGCGGGAGTCGACTAGCAATTTGAACCCGCGTGAGTGGTAGGTGCACCAACACCACCACCGCCTCTTGCTCTGCCAGAATCCATGCGCTTCAATTATGGAACTGGAACCTTGTTGAAAGACTGAATTAACCGCATTAACCAATATATGGAAGGTGAACGATTTCTCAGGCACATGCGCATACTTTAACACGTTGACGCGTTTTTATTTTCGGCCTCGTGGGACACGCGCGCTTTCTTGAACGCCACAAGCGCGGTACGCATACAATTCAAGCCGTCCCACGAAGCGCTTTTTTGGAGATTGGATCGAAAAACCTGGTTTAGAGAGCGATTGTGAGGTAAGTCAATTATTTACTATGGAAAAATCTGGGCTGGCCAACTCTCTTTGCACCAGGGCCAGGAATTTGTCTAGAACCAATTTTTTCATGAAAACGCAAATCGTGCTTTCTATAGGATTCAGAATCCTTCACCTTATATTTTTTCACCAGTTTGGCTGACGCGCACTACTGCGCGCATGATCAAACCTATGGTATTGATCACTGACAGGATTTTCGTGCAGACCACTAACACGTGGCCTAATTCCCATGTTTCAAACGGCGGCCCATTTCATCATATTTCACCTTTGATAAGCATTTGCCAATGTCTAGTGCTTATCACATTTATAAAAACACCCAACATTTGTTGGAAGTAGAAAAGCTTAGCGGTTGAAAGAATTTCGGTAATCGGGATCTTAGTGAAAGCTCCT